TTTCCAAACGACTTAGAACACCATTAATATTTATCAAACTTCCGTTTCATCATTTATTAAAAATTCAAGTATTTAAATATTTAAGTTATTTAACTATTTAAAACTTCTATTTTTATTATTTATTATTGTACAATAATTTAAAGTATTTTTTTTGTTATCTTTATTATTGATTAATAATACTGTTGAATATTGCTATTTAAAATTGTATTTTTATTATTTATTTTTGTACAATATTTTGTTATCGTTATTATTGATTAATAATACTGTTGAATATTACTATTTAAACTTGTATTTTTATTATTTATTATTGTACAATAATTTCAAGTATTTTTTTGTTATTGTTATTACTGATTAATAATACTATTTAAACTTGTATTTTTATTATTTATTATTGTACAATATTTTCAAGTATTTTTTTTGTTATTTTTATTATTGATTAATAATACTGTTGAATATTTAGAACGTAAAATTGAACTCGTATTTTTATATTTTATTGTTGCACAATAGTCACCTGAATTTTTTTTTTTTATAATATTTCGAAGTGGACCTCGTTGTGGCAATCTTTACGAAATTATTAATTAACTCTGGGTAGGCAATATTGATTTCAACTACTCGAGATGTTAAAATAGCTTTGCTCTCCATTCAATTCTCTGCACTCGCGAGCACAGCCAGCCAATAATTCTTCGTTTCAAATTATTCTGGATTTTTAAATTATTTTTCAAACTATTTTAAAAAAATTTCTTAAAAAAACAGAACACGAAAAAGGTGTTTATTATCGTCATCGATATGAGTAAATAATTTACTAATAATTTATTGTTTGATGGTAGAGAAAGAAGATTAATAATTATATTAATAATATTTGGAATGAAAGTTAATTTGGTGACGATAATCACAATTAGAAAAGAAGTTGCCAGTTTGGACAGCTCGAGGGGCAACAGTCGCCTGATTAGGCTTCCCAAAGCGTGAGAGCGTGACCGGATGGTGAGAATGAAGAAACAGATTCCGAAGATCGGAATATTCGGTGCATATTTCTAGATCGGGACGTGGAAACCCACGATCAAACGACTAATAGAATAATAGAGATCTAATATCAGAAGTCTGATATCATAATCGTCGAGAAAGTTAATTAGAAGAAGTAAAATCTCTGGAAATTCTCGTAGGAGGCGTAGAAAATGACTATGGAGCCTATATATACATTCTAAGCTATAGCAATCGAGGAGTTGATCGAGCGCTTGTGAGAAAGCGAATCCCTCTAGCGGCGAGCACAGGAAGCAACACCATAAGAATATTTATTCTTAAGGATCTCTGGAAATTCTCGTAGGAGGCGTAGAAAATGACTATGGAGCCTGTATATACATTCTAAGTTCTGCTTTAGAATGTATATATAGCAACTGAGGAGTTGGTCGAGCGCTTGTGAGAAAGCGAATCCCTCTGGCGGCGAGCATGGAAAGCAACGCCATAAAAATATTTATTCTCAACTAAGTGACTGTCGTATTACAATTACGATATTCTGAATTAGTCACTGATAAATTTTTGGTACTTTAAATCCAAAATTTAGGAGATTTTGAACCAGGATTTTTATGCTCATATTGCTACCCCCATGGAAAATTGATAAAATTCTTGAAATAAGTACTGTATGCAACTGGAAATTTCGGGAAATATATATACAGAATTCTAATACAAAGGAATCTATGATATTTTCAAAATTGAAAAAGACTAAAAAATGCACCCTTAAAGGGGTTTTATTTGATCATATGTAATTCATGCAATTTTTGTTATTTCTACTTGAAAAAAATACTGTGTATGCTTGAAACGTCAGTGAATGTATATACAAAATTGTAATACAAAAGAATCTATGGTTATCATTTCAAAAAATTAAAGAATTGTCAACTGGAATACACACATAAAGGGATCTTATTTGATGATATGTAATTCATGCAATTTTCGTTATTTCTACTTGAAAAAAATACTGTGTATGCTTGAAACATCAGTGAATGTATATACAAAATTGTAATACAAAAGAATCTATGGTTATAGTATCAAAAAATTAAAGAATGGTCAACTGAAATACACACTTAAAAGGATCTTATTTGATGACATGTAACTCATGCAATTTTTGTTATTTTTGCTTGAAAAAAATACTGTATATACTTGAAACCTCAGTGAATGTATATACAAAATTGTAATACAAAAGAATCTATGGTTATAGTATCAAAAAATTAAAGAATGGTCAACTGAAATACACACTTAAAAGGATCTTATTTGATGACATGTAACTCATGCAATTTTTGTTATTTTTGCTTGAAAAAAATACTGTGTATGCTTGAAACGTCAGTGAATGTATATACAAAATTGTAATACAAAAGAATCTATGGTTATCATTTCAAAAAATTAAAGAATTGTCAACTGGAATACACACATAAAGGGATCTTATTTGATGATATGTAATTCATGCAATTTTCGTTATTTCTACTTGAAAAAAATACTGTGTATGCTTGAAACATCAGTGAATGTATATACAAAATTGTAATACAAAAGAATCTATGGTTATAGTATCAAAAAATTAAAGAATGGTCAACTGGAATACACACTTAAAGGGATCCTATTTGATGACATGTAACTCATACAATTTTTGTTATTTTTGCTTGAAAAAAATACTGTGTATGCTTGAAACGTCAGTGAATGTATATACAAAATTGTAATACAAAAGAATCTATGGTTATCATTTCAAAAAATTAAAGAATTGTCAACTGGAATACACACATAAAGGGATCTTATTTGATGATATGTAATTCATGCAATTTTCGTTATTTCTACTTGAAAAAAATACTGTGTATGCTTGAAACATCAGTGAATGTATATACAAAATTGTAATACAAAAGAATCTATGGTTATAGTATCAAAAAATTAAAGAATGGTCAACTGAAATACACACTTAAAAGGATCTTATTTGATGACATGTAACTCATGCAATTTTTGTTATTTTTGCTTGAAAAAAATACTGTGTATGCTTGAAACGTCAGTGAATGTATATACAAAATTGTAATACAAAAGAATCTATGGTTATAACTTTTTTAAATTAAAAAAGACACTTAAATCATGTGTAGACTGGAATTCACTCTTAAAGGAACTTTCTACGATGATAGCTCGTACAATTTTCATTATTTCAACTCGAAAAAAATCCTGTATATGGTCAAAATGTCGACAAATATATGTACAAAATTCCAATACAATGCAATCTACCCTTATGATTGTAAAAAAAATTCCAGAAGACTCCTACAAAAATTATGCAAATTAAAACCATTGTATGACCTGTACTTCCAATAATTTTCATTATTTCAACTCGAAAAAAATCCTGTATACGCTAAAAATGTCGACAAATATATGTACAAAATCTCAATTCAATGCAATCTACCCTTATGATTCTAAAAAAAATTCCAGAAGACTCCTATAAAAATTATGCAGATTAAAATCATTCTGTTACCTGTAAATCCCACAATTTTCATTATTTTAACTCGAAAAAAATCCTGCATATGGTACAAATGTTGATAAATATATGTACAAAATTCCAATACAAAGCAATCTAGCCTTATGATAAAAAAAAAAAATTCCAGAGGACTCCTAAAAATACATTAGATAGGAATTCTTCAATGGCATGTAGCTCATACAATTTCTGTTATTTCAACTCGAAAAAAATCCTGTATATGGTAGAAATGTCAACAAATATATGTACAAAATTCCAATACAATGCAATCTACCCTTATGATTGTAAAAAAAAATTCCAGAAGACTTCTAAAAATTGGTTAGATAGAAATGTTTCAATGGCATGTAGCTCGTACAATTTTCACTATTTCAACTGTAAAAAAATCCTGCATACGCCAAAAATATCGACAAATATATCTACAAAATCCCAACACAGCAATCTACACCGTTACAATTAAAAAAAAAAATCGAAGGAGACCACAAATTGTGTAAACTAGAATTCCCCCTTAAAAGAGCAGTCTTCGATGGCCTCTAACTCCCACAATTTGTCCTATTTCACCCCGAAAAAAATCCTATACATGGCAAAAGTATCCCCAAACATATACTAAAAATTCCAACACAGCAATCTACACGGTTACAATTAAAAAAAAAAATCGAAGGAGACCACAAATTCTGTAGACTAGACTTCACCCTTAAAAGAGCTGCCTTGGATGGCACGTAACTGGTACAATTTGCATTATTTCGACTCGAAAAAAATCCTGTATATGGTCAAAATGTCGACAAACATATCTACAAAATCCCAACACAGCAATCTACACGGTTACAATTCAAAAAAAATCGAAAAAACCCACAAATTCTCTAGCCTGTAAATTCCCCCTTGAAAGACCAGTCTTCGATGGCCTCTAACTCCCACAATTCGTCCAATTCCACCCCGAAAAAAATCCCGTCCATAGCAAACATATCCCCAAAGATATCCCAAAAATCCCCAGCATACAACAATGCACATTTTTCCGTCGCCAAAAAATCTGAAAACCTGCTCCTAAAAATCGCATGTCTAGACAGTCTCTCGTGTCTCCGGCGCACACCCCCTCGTCGAATCTCGCGTAACCGTGGCGGTCGGTTGAAGAACACTGGGTAACGCGTTCGCCACGGTCGAGAACCCCTTTTTCTCGGCGCAGTCAGCAGCCCACAGTCGTACAGGTGAGGCTGATATCGACCTGGCGCCAGAAATACCGCGCAGCATCGACCGTTCGTCGTTTCTACCTGGTGCGCTTCCTCTTCCCCCGGGCTCCTGCCCCTCTGGCCCGCGGGGCGGGAGGGGGTACGGGGGTTGCAGATACTCGGCACGATGGTGGAGGGTTTGGGGGCTGACGCACGGCCTCGGCACCGTGGCCAATCCCCGGATCCTGGTGACCGCGACTGCGCCCTGTCGCGATCTGCTCTTCGCCCGCGGGCGCTCCTCAGGGAAGGGGGTAACGCGCAGCACGGTGGCGGGGAGGACTTCCAGGGCAGACGTTTCAAAGCCACCCCAACGGAGAGACACACCGAGACGCCCCTGCCATCGGGAGCCCTTCGGTCTTGGTAAGCATCTCATTCTTCTTTGCCCGCAATCCTCGATCCCCAAAGATCTCCATGGATCCTCCGCCACTCGCCCCATCCAAACCACCGTGGTCATCTCCCCCAAGTGTCGGTGCCTCACGAAATCCTGTGAAACTCGAATTTTTGGCGATTCTATCGACCGGGGGGATCCGAGAACGTTGCGCAACACCAAATCCGGGGGGTATCCGCTGGGTCTCCTCCTGAGACTGAGCTGTTAGGTGCACGGGCAAATGATACGTGGCCACCGAATAAACGCAACGTGGCGGAGGATGGGGGAATTACCTTGGGAAGGCACGCACATGTGTAATGTCCAGTGTTCTTCAAATGTAAGCTATAGGCTCGTTATAGATAGATGTGGAAACTCTAAATATAGGCTCGCTGGTAACGCGTGCATAAGATAATGGGCAGGTTAAGGGAAATTGTGTCGGTGCCGGGGGGAACGGACAAAATCGTCCGATATAGACCTGAGGGGGGTAGCTAAACACGTTTTGATTGCCCCTCTTCGACTGTTTCGTAATCGACACGAAACTCGAAATCCACCCTTTGATGTATCACTTCCATCCCCTCTCTCACTTGGAGTTATCTTGGTCCACCTAGAGACCTATTTTCAATCATCTCAAAGCTATTTGCAGCCCCCAAAATGACTTTCATCCTACCTCAATCTTGGGTCTACCTCTGCTTCTATCTCCATTTCCTTCGTGAGGCCCTGGAATTTGAGGCTGTTTTCAATGTTTCTGATCTTAAGAAGAGTGGGATTTGTTGTTGCAGACTCGGTTACGGATTCGACTGAAAGGTGGAGGGCCCAGGGACGCAGGAAGCCAAGGAGTCGTCGCACGACTCGAAGGACGAGGCCGGACCGGACGTGGCCACAACCCTGAGCAACTTGTTCTCCGGACTTCCGGCTTTGGCGGGTCCCCAACGCCTCGCCAACTCCCTCAGGCAGAAGTTCGCCAATAACTCCGGTAAGTGTCGCGGGATTTTCTTCGGTTCCACCCTTGGAAACCACGCGTCCGCGCGGAGGCTCGTTAGGATCGTTGACGAAGTTACGGTGTCCCCTGCAACGGCCACCGTAATTAATAAACGAGGGTGCCGACGGGCTGGGGGACCCCCGGGTTCACGAATGATCGTTTCACGCAAATAATTAATCTGTTCTGCCGCGGAAGAGACACGACGATGCGTAGAAAAACGTGTTTAATAGTTGACGTTTGGTGTGGGAGATCTTTGGTGGAACGGTGGGATCTGCTGTTTTTAATTAGGGTGGGTAGAATTTTGGAGTTTGTGGGGGTTTGTGGGGAGACAGGTACATGACTGGCTCAGTGGTTGGTAGCTAGGTAGCTCAAGTGGTTGGTAGGTAGGTAGATCAACTGGTTGGTAGCTTAGCTGGCTCACTCCTTGGTAGCTAGCTAGCTGACTCTTTGGTAGCTTAGCTAGCTCATTCCATGGTAGCTAGCTAGCTCACTCCTTGGTAGCCAGCTAGCTCAACTGGTTGCTAGCTAGGTAGCTCACTGTTAGCTAGCTTAGCTACCTCACTCTTGCCTAGCTAGCTAGCTCAACTGGTTGCTAGCTAGGTAGCTCACTGTTAGCTAGCTTAGCTACCTCACTCTTGCCTAGCTAGCTAGCTCAACTGGTTGCTAGCTAGGTAGCTCACTGTTTGCTAGCTTAACTACCTCACTCTTGCCTAGCTAGCTAGCTTACTGGTTGCTAGCTTAGCTACCTCCCTCTTGCCTAGCTAGCTAGCTCACTGTTAGCTAGCTTAGCTACCTCACTCTTGCCTAGCTAGCTAGCTCACTGTTAGCTAGCTTAGCTACCTCAATCTTGCCTAGCTAGGTAGCTCACTTCTTGCCTAGCTAGCTACCTCACTTCTTCCTAGCTAGCTAGCTCACTTCTTGCTTAGTTAGCTAGCTCAACTGGTTGCTAGCTACGCATGTAACAGTATATTGAGAAAAATTGCCCTACTTCTGTCTTTTAAATTGATCTAATAAAGTGTACTCTACGTATACAGGGTGTTCAGCCACCCCTGGGAAAGAGTTTCAGTGGAAAATTGAGGAGAGGCCAAAATTATGGATTTGTTGATTGAGGCTTCCTTAAAAAGTTATTAACGTTTAAAGTTTCACCTGTAGAATGGCAATCTACGAACTACTAGAGCTTCTCACTCACGAAACTGTATGTTTGTCGATATGTCAGTAAGCAGAGTTTCTCAAATTATGTTAATCACACATTATGTTTTCGGTAAAGAATTTTTTTCTCGGAAGTGGGTAGGATTTCGGGGATATGTCTATTCACCAAGAATGATTGTAATTGACCCCTGCAATTGAACATAATTTTTTTAGAACGATCTGAAACTTTTCATTTTCGGCCAAAAATTTGGGCATCTTCTCGAATTTTTTTCTCGAAAATGCGTAGGATTTCGACAGTATGTCTATTGACCAAAAGTGATTATAATAGACCCCTACAACCTAACATAATTTTTTTAGAATGATTAGAAACTTCTCATTTTCGCCGAAAAATTTAGGAATCTTCTCGAATTTTTTTCTCAAAAATGCGTAGGATTTCGACGATATGTCTATCCACCAAAAACTATTGTAATTGATCCCCCTAGCTAGAAATAATTTTTTTAGAACCATTAGAAACTTTTCATTTTCGCCAAAATATTTAGGCATCTTCTCGAATTTTTTTCTCGAAACTGGTTGGAATTTCGGGGGTACGTCTATTCACCAAATATTATTGTAATTGACCCCGCTAGCTAGAAATAATTTTTTCGGAACGATTTGAAAGTTTTTTTTTTCGTAGAAAAAATTAGGCGCCTACCCCCTGTCGATTTTTTATAGAAATTCGTTTTCGATTTTTAACAAATTTGTTTGAGGCGCTACGGAAATTTTGTTTAATACTTTTTTGTAGGTACCCATGAGCTCTACTTCCTCCCAAAATTTCATTGAAATATATTCACTATTATAGGAATTATGACTGTTTGAAAATTGAACCATTTTTGGGGGTTTTTTTCCAATTTACGGGGTCAAGGAACAGCTTTTCCAAGATTTTTACAATTTCTACATATTCTTCACTAAAATACGCGTCGTTTGCTTTTTTAAACTTCAAAATCCGTCAATTCGTTCAGAAGTTATGCCATTTTAAAGATTCGCATGAAATTTTGAGTCAACATTTCTGGCCATACATTACATTTTCAGTAAAGAATTTTTTTCTCGAAAATGCGAAGGAATTCGACGATATATCTAATCATCAAAAATGATTCTAATTAACCCCTGCAACTAAAAATAATTTTTTTAGAACGATTTGAAATTTTTTAATTTCGTCGAAAAATTTCACAACCTACTCGAATTTTTTTCTCAAAACTGGTTAAGATTTCGAAGATACATCTATTCACCAAAAGTGATTGTAATTAACCCCTGCAACCTAAAATAATTTTTTTAGAACGATTTGAAAATTTTGAAATTTCAGGGAAATCGTTCATTCATGGTCAGACATTCTAGCTTCATTAAAGAATTTTTTTCTCGAAACTGAATAGGATTTCGGGGGTATGACTAATGACCAAAAATGATTGTAATTAACCCCTGCAACTAAAAATAATTTTTCCAGGACGATTGGAAATTTTTTAATTTCATATTCATAATATAGTTCGACTTTCAAGGTCTTTGCTCGGAATGAAACTTCTCTAAAACAGTTTCTACCTTGCAACAACTATTTTTATAACCTTCTGAAACAACTATCACGTATTTTACTATAACAAAACCATGCCCTCCGGATAATTGGACCTCCAGGCTCGCTTTACCCTACCAGAGTCATAAAAAAATAGACAAAACATAGGCGTACCGATCGTGGGGGAGCCTCCACCCGGTGTGTTCGCTTCTAAACCCAAGAAGCAAACCCAGGAATCAACCTGCACCGTCGTGCACACGGAAACTTGTCATCGAACGAGGAGATGTCCGCTGGGAGGTTAGCAAAAGGTCGGGTCGGGGGTGCAAAGGCAATCGGTAAGCGCCGATCAGGCCGGGTCAGGGCTCCCCTCTCTTTCGAGTTTCTCCCAATATCAAAATCAAAATCAAAATCCTCGCCTGGCGGATACCAGGAACACGTTAGCGTACATGGTGTTCGGTAAATGTATTTCAAAAATTTAACGGGGGATCCCAGGGGCCAAAATAAGACGAAAATGAAGAATACCAATTTTCCAAATTCGGCTTCGTTAAAAAGTTATCAACGTTCAAAGTCGCGGCTGTGGAGCGTCCAGCGTGCAGCTGCGCGCGCACGCTAGTGGTTCTCACTTACCGACTTACCGACAGCGCTCTCCGAGCGAGAACCACTGTACCGACCTCCGTCCGCAGACGGAACTTAAAACGTCAATAACTTTTTAACGAAGCCTCGATTTAAAAATTACTATTCTTCATTTTCGTCTTGTTTTGGGCCATAGAATCTCCCGTTAAAGTTTTGACTCGTTATGATCGAGCACCCTGTACGATCGAGGCAGTCGAAAAGCTAAAAAAATAGACACAATAGGAGCTAACCGTGAAAACTCGGTGATTATGTTGTAGGTTATCCCCGGCCTGGCCTGATGCTTGCCGCCCCAATCGCGACGATCTCTTCGTCACGGTCGCTCCCGAGGTCGCACGAAGTGATCGCGTTTAGTTGTCGTTGAGCGTTCGAAGAAGGGGATATACGAATCGAGGCGGAGCCATGTCGACGACGATACCGATACTGAACATCGAGCTAGGGGAGCTGAAGGAGTTCATCTGGATGAAGCTGCAGGAGCCGAAGGCTCAACGAAAGCTCGTCCTGGTGATCGTCTCGATAGCTCTGCTGCTCGACAACATGCTCTACATGGTGATAGTGCCGATCATACCCGATTACCTGAAATACGTGGGCGCGTTTGGCGAGGAGGAGGAGCAAGAAGCAAACACCACAGGTCCACCGGTTCACCACGGCCAGGACTCCGCAACTGGCGTGTTGTTCGCGTCGAAGGCGATCGTGCAGCTGATGGTGAACCCGTTCTCCGGGGCACTGATCGACAGAATCGGCTACGACATACCGATGATGGTAGGGCTGTCGATAATGTTCCTGTCCACCGCGGTGTTCGCCTGCGGCAGGAGTTACGGTGTTCTGTTCTTCGCCAGAAGCCTCCAGGGCGTCGGTTCCGCGTTCGCGGACACCAGTGGCCTGGCCATGATCGCTGATCGCTATACAGAGGAGTCAGAACGCTCGAAGGCGCTGGGTATCGCGTTGGCGTTCATCAGTTTCGGCTGTTTGGTCGCGCCCCCGTTCGGTGGCGCCCTCTACCAGTTCGCGGGCAAGGAGGTGCCTTTCCTGATCCTGGCGTTCATCAGCCTGGCGGACGGTTTCATGCTACTGCTGGTCATGAAGCCGCTGAAGGAGCAGTTGAAGGAGAGTCGGGGGGATCACACGCCCTCGATACCCATTTGGAGACTCCTCATGGACCCGTACATCGCGGTGTGCGCGGGTGCTCTGATGATGTCGAACGTGGCTCTGGCCTTCCTGGAGCCTACCATATCCCTGTGGATGGAGGACCACATCACTCGTGACAACTGGAAGATGGGGATGATCTGGCTACCAGCCTTCTTCCCCCACGTGTTCGGTGTGATGATCACCGTCAAGATGGCCAAGCAGTATCCCCAGCACCAGTGGCTGATGGCTGCTGGTGGCCTGGCTCTGGAGGGCCTCTGCTGCTTCATCATACCCTTCTGCACCTCCTACAAAGTCCTCATGATCCCACTGTGCGGGATCTGCTTCGGTATTGCTCTCATCGACACTGCTCTGCTGCCTACCTTGGGCTACCTGGTGGACGTGAGGTACGTGTCGGTCTACGGGAGCATCTACGCCATAGCTGACATCTCCTACAGCGTGGCATACGCGGTGGGACCCATAATAGCTGGAGGAGTCGTCGAAGCAATTGGTTTTACCGCTCTGAACGTCGGGATAGCCTTCTCCAACCTGCTCTACGCCCCTGTGCTGATGTATCTCAAGCACATTTACGATTTCAAGCCCTTCCAGTGCGAGGCTGACGTCCTCATGCAGGATCCTCCTGATAAGGAGTACCAGACGTACGTCCTCCAGGAGCAGAGGCCACTTTCTGGTGAGATTGGCAATCATCTTAATCAGACTCGCATGGAGACCAATGTGGATCAAGGGTACGACCAGAATTACCAAGGCCAGGGCTACGAGCAGCCTGGATACGCTCAGAACGTGAATGCTCCAGGGTACAACCAGGCTGGAGGCTACGAGCAACCGCCCATGTACGACCAACCGGCTAATTATAGCCAACAAGGCCAGGGTTACGCTCAGCAGAGACCCTACGGCCAGGAACAGCAAGCCAGCGACGCCAACCCGTTCAGAAGACCACCAGCGCCACCTGTCGTCGAGCAGAGACCAGCTGGCGACAGCAACCCATTCAGACAAGGAATGTACTAATGGAGATCATGAGAAACACAGATCAAGTATCACAGAACAGTCTTCGAGACAAGCTTCCAGTTAAGAAAACGCGCGATGGCCGATCTCTGGGCGACCGCAGCGCTCCCTCGAGTCACTCTCGCGCGAACAGTGCGGCCATCTTGTGATCCGAAACTGTCGAACGAGACTTCCAAGAACGATTACTTCGATAAGGGACTCGAAAGCACGCGTTGGTATTGGTTTTTTTCAGTGGGTAGTGTCCGGATACTTCGTAGATATTTTAGACAAAATGGAGGGACTTGAGTGGACGTGTTTCGACCGAGTTTTATGCATGCATCTCGCGAATATTAATTGAACGGGCAGTTTTGGAATTTTGCATATCATTCTTGCGATGTTTAGCGATCGAAATTTGTTTTTCTCGACTTCAATCACGCTTCTCTCGTTGGTAACAATGATAAACCAAGAGAAAATGGACGGTAGATGGGGAGGAACTAGTGCAGACCAGTCTCGAACAGTTTGGGAATTTTATTTTACGCAAAGGAAATCGGGAACTTCAATTTTTTTATGAAATATGTCTTCTATGAATATTGATAACTAGTTTGTGGGTGTTTCGGGGGAAAAATGGCGGGAAATTTGAATCGTGGAACGTAGCCATTTCGTTTGCAACGTCGTAATTGGTAAATTTCGTATAATTTTAAAGTGTATTGTATTTTCGAAATGATGTGACATGCACAAAAGTAGGAACAGGAAGAAATAAACGTCCTTTAGATGTTTATGGAGAAATAAGTATCGGTGTGATGGGTATTCGCACGTTGTGGGTGTGACTTAAAGGGGTATTCTGATGGTGGAAAAACAGGGCCATGTTTGGAATTTTTTAATGGAACAACCATTCAATATTTCAGTTTTAAACTTTGCAGTATTGTTTGTGCGTGTCTTGTTGGGTTACGTGAATTTTTTCAGTGAAAAATACGGCATAGTTTTGGGTTAAAACGAAAGAAATTGGCGAACAACACTGAATTTTTGAAATAATTCTAGTTCGAACCATTTTGGACCATTTCAAACCATTTCAAACCATTCAAAATTTCACTTTAGAACTGTGCACTATTATTTGAATGTAATTTTTTGAAATAGTTTCAGAGAATTTTTGAAGTAATTCTGATTTAAACCATTTCGAACCACTCCAAACTATTCCAAACCACTCCAAACCACTCAAAATTTCACTTAAAAACTGTGCACTATTATATAGATGTAATTCTCTGATATAGTTTCAGAGAATTTTCGAAGTAATCCTAATTCAAACCATTTCAAACCACTCCAAACCACTCCAAACCACTCCAAACCACTTCAAACCACTTCGAACCAAAGTTTTTACTGAATATCCCAAAAACCATGAAGTTTCCAAGCAATATAATTCCACTATTTTCAAGAATCCAAGCACTACATTTAACAAATAAATTTTCCAAACAGTTTCAAGTAAATTTTGAGAAAAAAACAAAGCAAAATTTAACGTTCGAATACCCCTTTTTGGAGAGAATAATCGCGACGAGGGCTTCCCCTAAGCAAGGACCTTCGTTCGCGAGTCGGGCACCAGCAAATTTTTCGTTCTTATCGATTACGTTCGCGTTAGGTATGCTGAACCGAAATATCATATCATTAGTTGTTAAGGCGACAAGAACTCAGCTTCGAAGCTTTCTTGTAGGTAGTTGTATAGACGAGAAGAATAGTCTGCCTCAGAAATGGTGTAACGATATGAACGATATAGTCAAAATGTTACTAAATCCCCTATTGTTAATAAACAAATATCGGGCAATTTTATACAATTTCATATTATATAATTTAAACAAACGCGAAGAGAAAACATTAAATAGAGGATCGTCGATAGATTTTGGGTCGTTATTCGTTATTATATCATTCACGAATAACGAATGAAATCGATTTATTCGCGGTGAACGAATTGAAATCGATTTATTCACGAATAACGAATAAAATAGATTTATTCACGTATAACGAATAAAATAGATTTATTCACGTATAACGAATAAAATAGATTTATTCGCGGTGAACGAATAAGATCGATTTATTCACGAATAACGAATAACGAATGAGATCGATTTATTCATGAATAAAGAATAAAATCGATTTATTCACGAATAACGAATAACGAATGAGATCGATTTATTCACGAATAACGAATAAAATGGATTTATTCGCGACCAACGAATAAAATTGATTTATTCGCGACCAACGAATGAATTGATTTTATTCGTCTTCCGAAATAATTATTCTCGACGATTGAAAGAGTTCTTTTGGTGATTTTTGTTGGATTTCTCGACAAGATGGCGGTAAATTCTTCGACATGGACGGACCACTGTGCATCGTATGCGCGATTAGGCATATCTTTACATCATAGACGACGCAGATTCTGTTTCTTCGTAGTTTGTAAGGGGAATTCTATACGGTAATTTCATTTAAACGAGCTGGCCTCTACGAATAACAAAATGGCGACGCGTAACTTGCCGATGGTTATCCGTAAAAGAAGGTTAAATACTTCGAGGATTAAAAATGATTAAAAAAACGAGATTTTTTGCTTGATGAGTTGTATATATATGTTGCAATTACTATAATCGTGAGACGTAAAATGACAACGGAGGACGGATGCACATTTCGTTGGTTATTTTTCGAAAGTTATATAGGTCATTTGAAGTCGTTTATTTTGTAGAATTTACACGTTCGTTGGAACGTCTCGATTTTTGCAATACGGGGACAAGTATTGCCACTGTACAACGAACATGTTGTTTATTTCCGATATATAGGGTGTCGTTCGAGGGACGAGAGATTTTTATTCACACGGACCGGAAGTAACTGGAGATGTTTAGGTGTTACCAATTTAAAGGCTCCACCCTGTATAATATTATATCCCATTGTGTGTATATAGCATATATAGCGAATATATAAACGATATATTATAAAAAAAAATTCTATACGTACAATTATATATGTATATATAAAGGGTGTTCGCTTGAAAAGTAACGACAGATACCGTTTATTTTTTGATTTATCGATCGAGCTCGAGTTCTAGAGGTCGCTCGAAGGTCAACTTTGTTTACTTTTGAAGGTAAACAACACGTTGACCTTGAGGTGACCTTGAACATTCTGTTTACACTGTTTCAAACGAACGACCTGTATAAAATTCGACGAAGAGATAACTATCGAGCAAGACGTTGCATGTACCTGTATCGCAAATTGTATCACAATTCTATATACATACACCTATATACCCTGTAATCGCGTAAATAAATACTCGTAGCTTCTTTCGTGTATTGTAAATACGTTCAGGAAGAACACTCTCTCCTTTTTCACACGAGGAACCTGCGTACATACAGGGTGTCCCGTTAAAAATCATCCCCCTCGTTATATCATTCGAAAATATTTCGAAAAATTTGATTCTTGATATGGAAGGAGGTGATTTTTTGTGGGACACCGTGTATACTGCCTACATGTAACATAATACCGTCACACGAACGAATTAGAGATGGAACTAACGAATTAAATGTTCGAGTAGACGTTTATAGGTTCCTCGCGATATTTTTCTCCCATTTCGCGCGTCCTCGTTGAAATCTAAGGAGAGAAAAACAACATGGCGGACCTATCGACGGTTTCAAATGGATGCGTTGCGATCGATGCAAGAAAATTGACAAATTATTATGATAAATCACTCGAAACTTGAAATTTTGAATTTTCGAAAATTTTTGCTCGAAATTTAGGTAAATTTTGAACGTTTTCATGTGAAATTTATATTGTTTCTGAATTGAGTCGATCGAGAAAGGAGAAAATGGCGCCAGAATTCCAACCTCTCGACAATTTTTGCCCCCCCCAAAACAAATTTATTAAAATTTCGTAAGCTTCGATGTATAATTTGAAATTGTTTCCGCCTTGAGTCGATCAATTTATTCAAATTTCGAACGTTTTCATGTGAAATTTAAATTGTTTCTGCCTCGAGTCGATCAAGAAAGGAGAAAATGGCGCCAGAATTCCAACCTCTCGACAATTTTTGCCCCCCCAAAACAAATTTATTAAAATTTCGTAAGCTTCGATGTATAATTTGAAATTGTTTCCGCCTTGCGTCGATCAATTTATTCAAATTTCGAACGTTTTCATGTGAAATTTAAATTGTTTCTGCCTCGAGTCGATCAAGAAAGGAGAAAATGGCGCCAGAATTCCAACCTCTCGACAATTTCTGCCCCCCAAAACAAATTTATTAAAATTTCGTAAGCTTCGATGTATAATTTGAAATTGTTTCCGCCTTGAGTCGATCAATTTATTCAAATTTCGAACGTTTTAATGTGAAATTTAAATTGTTTCTGCCTCGAGTCGATCAAAAAACGAGAAAAATGGCGCCAAAATTCTAACCTCGAAAATTTCTGCCCCCCAAAACAAATTTATTAAAAATTTTCCGTGTACATTTCGATGTATAATTTGAAATTCTGTTTCTGCCTTGCGTCGATTCGTTTCGATTTACGGAGGATCGAAAAAAAAAATGAAAAAAAAAAATGAAAAAAAAAAGATAGAAATTTGCAATACACTCGCACTTCCGCCATGCATATACACCACAGCACGTACTAACGAGTATATACTATTACTATACGCGGCGCAAAATGGACGTCGATCGCGAAAGGATGTATGTATATTTAAGGGAAATCAAGTATCGAACTGCGCATGTACTTGAAACCTATAAAACTGTAATGTTGTTGATCCGGTTATTAAACATGTCATTGTTACTGAACTATACTATTCGTTGTGCTCTTTGATGTCGTCGATAACCTTGAAATAACCTTGAAATAACCTTGAAATAATCTTGAAATAATTTTGAAATAACCTTGAAATAACCTTGAAATAATCTTGAAATAATCTTGAAATAACCTTGAAATAATCTTGAAATAATCTTGAAATAATATTGAAATAACCTTGAAGTAACCTTGAAATAAACTTGAAATAGCCTTGAAATAACCTTGAAAAAACCTTGAAATAACCTTGAAATAGCCTTGCAATAATCTTGAAATAACCTTGAAATAACCTCGAAATAACCTTGAAATAACATTGAAATAACCTTGAAATAACCTTGAAACATTCAAACAACCTTGAAATAACCTTGAAACAACCTTGAAATAACCTTGAAATAATCTTGAAATAACCTTGAAATAACCTTGAAATAGCCTTGAAATAACCTTGCAATAATCTTGAAATAACCTTGAAATAACCTTGAAATAACATTGAAATAACCTTGAAATAACCTTGAAACATTGAAACAACCTTGAAACAACCTTGAAATAACCTTGAAACAACCTTGAAACAACCTTGAAATAACCTTGAAACAACCTTGAAATAACCTTGGAATAACCTTGAAATAGCCTTGAAATAACCTTGCAATAATCTTGAAATAACCTTGAAATAACCTTGAAATAACCTTGAAACATTGAAACAACCTTGAAATAACCTTGAAACAACCTTGAATTAACCTTGAGACAACCTTCAAATAACCTTAAAATAATCTCGAAAAAACCTTGAAATAACCTTGAAATAGCCTTGAAATAACCTTGAAATATCCTTGATGAAAGAACGAAGCACCGTTCGGGCCTAATGAAAAATATAAAACGCTAGGAGGGGGGAGGGGGGGGGGGCGAGAAAGCATCGATGGGGGTGTCTGTGGGGCCCACTGGGCGACCTAACCCCATCAAAGTGTAATAATATTTATATTAGGGCGCGGCTGAGAGGGCAGGGGCGTCGTTGGGGGTTCGTGCAAGGGGAACTACCCATTCGAGGGGTGGAAAACCAGCCTGGATACTCTGAAAACTGTTCCAGATATCGATCTGACCGGTAATGTGACTGGTGACAGCGACAGAACACTTTTAAAAATAGCAAATTGGGCTGAATAAATTTTTCTTACAATCCTGGACACTGATTTTCATATTACACCAGGTGAAAATTATTTATAACAATAAACCTTCATTCATTCGAAATTTTTTTACTTAAAATTTGCACCACATATACTAAAAAAATTATTTTAATTTGTTTTATAAATTTGGCTCAGTCGATAGAGTTATGGAAATTCATTTTTAAATCACACCCAGGTGAAAATTATTTATAACAATGATTTTCGAAATATTTGTTACTTAAAATTTGCACCACATATACTAAAAAAATTATTTTAATTCACTTTATAAAATTGGGTCAGTCGATAGAGTAATCAGCTATGAATCTTTTGGTCCCCAGTTCGAATCCCCGTCAAGTAACTTTTTTTTTTCATCATTTTTAAATGTAAAAATATATTTTATTTATTCCACTTAATTTTTGATAGAAAAAACCGGTTGTAAAACGCATAAAAATTGTAAAAAATGTAACGACGTTTGCAAACGCGATATGTTTGGTATATTGTGAGGCGTGGGTGGCGCTTATATCGATTATTCAGCCCGAGCAGCGCGGGGGCGGGTGCACAGAAAGCGTGGCGAGCTCGTTCGTGGAGATTTCAACGAATTCCACGGGTTTGATTATTCCCAACCGACTCTCCGACTGATTTCGCCTAACTGGAAGACTTCAATGCACGCGTTCCGAGTCGCTAATCGCTTACTTACAAAGGGGATGCCCCATTAGAGTACAAAAATAATGCAAAACCATAGTCAAAATAAAGTAATGAAGATAATTTTCAAAAATTTTGCATTCACTGTCTCCAAAATGTCGTCGATTATCGAAACGGACTTGCTAATCGCTGAAAACGATGACAGAGGCTAGGTTAGCAGTGTTGCGGGCAACACGAAGAGCGCTGGTAATCCTTAAATCCGATTATTCGCCTCATCGGTCCTCGACAACACCAATCTGCCACCCTCTTGTATTCAATCAATGTTTCTTTTGCCACCATTGATCTTCCCCACCTTCCAGGCTCGTTCTTTCTCGCCTGACAATTGGTAC